GCGCGCTGCTGCCGGCGGAGGCGGGCGCGGGCAAGTTCTCGAAGGTGTACGTGGACGAGCGCGGGCTGGCGGCGCGCAAGAAGCCGGAGCCGGAGCCCAGCAAGCACAAGTGCACGCGCAAGCAGCGCGCCGCGCCGCCGCACTCCGACCACCACCTGCCGCCGCCGCCCGACATACTCGACGACAACGTACGTACGACACCGCCACGCCGCTCTAACGGACGATTCGCTGCTACTAACCACTAATTCACGTTTACTGACGAACTGGGATATTGAGATCTAAACATAATCTGAATTGTTTATGTTTCTAGAACACCAGGATTGATTGATCAGTTCACATCCTTCAGTGGTCAATAAATTGGACAGTGAAAAATATATACGTCAATATCAAGGCCTCTAACCACTGCACTATGTGAATGTGTAAATTAACCTTTTATAATTCAGCATGGTCTACAGATTAGCAGATGCGGCTGTTTATTTTATTGATAACTGAATACAAAACTAAATATCACTTGTATTGATCTCTATATTTTGTCTGTATACGGGAATTTCCGCTTATACAAAATGTAAGATAGTGTACTCAATTAATTGTATTTTGTATAAAAGTATTATTCGACTTTTGGAACACTTTACATTACATTTTCTAACAGATTTCTAAGTCTCGAAATATTGTGTATGCTCTTTGCTCTGTGTAATATATTGTAAAGGGTTCTAAATGTTCTAACTTAATAAAATAAATTTAGGGAAAATTGGCAAAATAGCTTCAATCCCCCAATTCATTCAAGGTAATTGATGAATTTGCATTCAGATGTTTAATATAAATCACATTTTCAGATATAGTTACGAATGTTACGAACTTTTATGCATAGAATAATATTTATTAGCTGATTTATTACATTCAATTCCTTCAATATCTGGTTTTGATAATGTTACATACAAACGGTTCGGACAGAAATAACAAAAACGACATTATAACGTAACACATTCCTTAAAACTGATGGACCTTTCAAGCTAAACAAGAGGCAAGATTTCATAATAAACTTCTGAATGTATAGAAAAAGGGCTTTACAATCCTGTACACCAGTTGCATAACTAACTTATATGCGGTTTTAATTTTATTACAAAACAATATTATTCTATTTGACCATCGAGAACTCGGCCAGGAAAGTTTAAACAAAGTAACATTTAAGTAATGCTTGCTATCTTTATTAGGTGTTCTGGGCTAATTATTTCTTATATTATTTTCTTCTTGAACTTGTATTGAGCTACACTGTGGTAATCCTGCTGGAGCTATGCAGCTAGTGTACTTGATTTCTCCTTTATTCATAAACACAATAAAGAACACACAAAATATACAATTGACATCGTGTCAGTTGATGTACAGTGTTTCTAAATAAAGGTGGTAATCATTGGTACATTTGTGTGGGTTGTTTACCTAACATCGTAAAGCTTTATCTCCTAATATGCCTCTCATTCGTATTAATTTTTCCAAATTAACCATTGCGCCCCCACCTAATGTATGTTACTGATACATATGTATATTGTTCGCTTAATATCACGATTCTATCATTTCATTTCTATTTGCTTGCTTCCCACGGTGTAGATTTGCCACCACGCCATGGCTAAGGTATCACTCCCGCCGGGGTTTACGTGGAAGGATGTTAACAAGAAAGTTAAAATTAAATGCCAGATTAAAAATAAATGCAACGTGAGTCACACTATAATTACATTCAGTAAACTAACTCAGTACTTTGGTATAGCGGCGTCGCACACGTAGACCTCGCTAGCGCAGGGCGCGTGCGGCGCCGCGCGAGCCCCTCTGACCGGCCTCTGTTACAGCGGGACCCGCGCGACTGCCTGCCCGACGCAGACCGCAGCCTGCTCGACCTGCCCGACCCCGCAGGTATGTATCGTCTGCTGCGACCTCGCCGACCCAAACACGGCAACCCCGTATGATCTTTTAAATTAACATGAATTTGTCTACTGAGCCGAATAAAGTGTGTTATGAGTTAACTTTTGTAAAACGGCGGCGTTGTATGTGAAGGTCCGCCAACGCTCGCCACGTCGGCGCTGCACGCCTTGGACCTACAGTTCTGCGCTCAAGGCAAGTCGACACGTCCCTCGTCATCCCTACAGAATTGTATTTATGTTTGGCTTCCGCATTCCTTTTCATATCATACGGGCACAAACAAACACAGCGACTTTATGTTTCTCCCATCCTTAAAACGCTTTGGTAATTTGTCAGCAGAGGCCTTTTCATTATGACCTTGCTTGGGCCATTTGACAATACCATCCTTATTTTTGTATGTAAATTAGAGATTTGTGCATTCGCTACAAGTGCACTATTGCTGAACATGTCCACCTTCGTTTTGTATTTGTTGTCAATTATTTTAATCATTGCTTCTTGTAAGTTTTTCTGTAGCTTTTCATGTGACCTTCTGTGTGACATTTCACATTCCCTTATTTACCAACTTATTGAACGTGAATTCTGTTAAAACACATTATTAACCTCTATTCAACAATAATATTCCAATGTCTACTAACCTTCACCAATACACTCTAATACTAAAATCCCAGGACAGAACGTTTTTAACAGTTCCGATGACACTACCTGTGTTACTTCATATTAGTAAAGTAACATGTTGAATATGGAGCAGGTGAGTGGTTGAGTTGTGGTGCAGTAGGTGTGTCCGCGAGTAACGTCGGTCCTTGTGCAGGTGTGACGACGGTGCACCCCCCCACGACGCCCCCCTACCCGCCCCCGCAGCAGTTGTTCCCAGTGCAGCAGCTCGCGACCAACCTCAACCAGGTGCGTGGACATGTAACTAGGATAAGGGTACAATGAAATGCAATTATTAAAGACTTTCCTTCTAAACTGCATACATGATTTACAGCTCGTGCAATTCATTAATGTTTCAAATTTTGTCAAGTACTTGTTTTGTTCAATACATATGGATTAAGAAACGTTTTCGTCGAACTACAAATATTAAACGCGTTGAATATTATAGAACACTCCGATACAAGAGCGACCGCGCGCGAAGGTTTCACGTAAATGCTCCAAGTTCGGTTGCAAGTTCCTACTGCTGGACGCGTTGCAACGGCTCGGCCAGCACATTAGTGAAGTGGGTGCCGTCGCGGTAATCTTCGCGAGTTGTTTATGACCTCAATAGACGATACAATATTGTTCATTATTAATGTACTACGTATTCATAGTGATTGGTGATAATGTAGTTGTAACTTCGTAAGCGTATTAAATAGATTTGAGTTATTTAACTTGTTGTTTCCATATAAGTTAGACTAGTGAAATATTGAAGTATTGTTATCGATACGGCTTTAATTGTACATGAACTGATTTGATTATCATTTTCCAGCACCAACTGCAGGAGTTGCAACAACAGCAATTCCAGCAGCTAGCTGTACAACAACAGCAACAGCACCAGCAGCAACAGCATCAGCAGCAACAACAGAAGAAGCAGCAGCAGCAGCAGCAGCTGTACGTGCAAGAGTTGCAGCAGAGGCCTGAAGCTTTCGCGGCGCAGGTAAGATCGCTGGGTACCGTAGCGGGTGGAGCGGGTGCAGCGGGTGGAGAGGGTGTGTTGTATGGACCGTCGTGGTGGCAGTTGGTGGAGGCGGCGGAGGGCGCGGGCGCGGAGGCGGCGGGCGTGGAGGCGCGCGAGCTGGGCGCCGTGCTGGCCTACCTGCAGCGCGAGGTGCCGTCGCTGGTGGCGCTGCCGCCCAACGAGCTGCGCTCGCTCGTGCTGCAGGTACGCCCCGCGCCGCACCACTACTAACTACTGCATGCTCCTTGCACTGTTACACTATCTGCATCCTAATACTTTTGTGTAACCCTGTGATGTCCCTCCTACTACGTGAATTGCTTTCTTCGGACATGACACGATTCGGTCGCCGAATATGAAATGAGTAAATTAGTGGAATGGGAATGATACCGACCGAAACAATTAGTATTGTGCATGAGCGGGATTTATTCTTTGAGTGATACATGCACGGTGCAGGTGATGCAGCAGAAGTCGCACGAGATCCTGTCGTCGAAGTGCGCGGAGGCGGAGGCGGAGCGCGGCGACGCGGACGACGACGGCCACGAGCGCCACGCGCGCAGGCTGCTGGAGGAGGCGCTGAGCGCCGACTGGCCGCGCCAGGACCACCACCATCACCACCACCACCACCACCACCACGTCGACGTCACGGTACGTCATCCTCTACACTCTACGACTCATTCCGTCTTGTACTATGGAATATTGAAATAATTAAGCAAACTTGTATTGACTCTTATTCTATACAGTACTTTATGTTCATATTCAGTTTATACATTAACATATAAATTTAATTTAATTGACGAAACATGAATGGTCATTATAGTTTTTGGACTTGTTGTATCTGCATGTTTGGTTTTAATACTTTTACATTTTATAATTGACAATTTATTGTATGCAATTATTGATGGTTATTTGAAATATTAACTATTACTTTTGTCACTTTAGGTTATCTTAATATACAGGGTTTAAGCTCTTTTTGTTTTAACATGAATAATGTTTGGTGGCTTCATTGATATTTCATTATAATTATTTAATTGTAATTTTTTACATTTCACTGTCATTCAAAGTTCTGTTTATTTTATTTGGATTTAAAATGTATCACTTGCAAATTGATTGTGGGCTTCTTGTCTGATGGCTGATTTAGATTACTTGTTCTTTGTTATTTTCATTAGTTCATATATCACTTATTGAGAGGTAATTAATTTTGTTTTAGTTTCTACATAATTTGTAATGTTGTGTACGCCGTAATGGCTAAACATGACTCCCAATGGCTTCCATAATATCTTGCGTGCACTCTGTATTTAATACTCATGTTAAACAAATAAAACGATCTTTATCTTACCTGATTTCATTTCAATAATAAATATTATTTTACTATTTTAGGCCAGCAACGGATGCCAGTTCAGACTACGACCGTCGTCTCCCTCGGGGAAACTCGAGAGTGGCATAATCCTAACGCGGGCCGACAACGACATATTGACAATACCTCAATCGTCTTCTCAACCTCAACCGCAGCAGCAACCTCACGCTCAGCCTGATCTCCAACCACATTTCGCACTGCCTCCACCGACGCTGCCCTATGAAGACTATAGGTAAGATAGGCCGCTCTCTGCAAGTCAATTATTACAAGGTTATCTGTATGAATGGGAGCTCAACGAATGGGTCGGTGGCAGGTCGGCGACGTTCGCGGCGTCCCACGCGGGCGGCACGACGGGCGGCGCGGGGCACGGCCCGCCTCACGCCGCGCACGGCCCGCCCCACGCCGCGCACGGCCCGCCGCACGCCACGCCGCAGCCCGCGCCGCACTCCAAGCGGGACCAGCACCACCACTCCACCGCCAAGAAGAAGGTACGTATCATTATTTCAACATTCCCTTTCTTGTCATTACTATATGCACACTTGCTAAATTGCTCGTATGACTTGATATATTAATGCACATATGCAATTGTTTCAGAATCGCTTCGCTGGCACGGGTAGAGGTTGCCGGTCGGGCGAGGCGTTCGGCACGGCGACTCCCCCCGCGCCCGCGCCGGCCGCCTACTGTGCCATGGACGTGGACGGAGAGACCGACTCCAACCATGACACGGCGCTCACGCTGGCGTGTGCCGGGGGACACGAGGACCTCGTCGAGTTACTGCTCAGTCGGGGCGCGGATATCGAACACCGGGACAAGAAGGTACCCACTTCATTTCATTCAATTCTAATTTTAAGTAGTCAAAATATTGTAATTATAATGGTATGATGTCCCATTACAATAAATTGACTAAAATTACCAACGCTCCTCTATGAGTTGGCTTCGGCTCCTCGTAAGTTTTCCAAAGGCCTGGGACCCTGTGGTCCCGTGAAAGGAAAATAAAAATACTAATCGTAACGTGTCTCTTTAGGGCTTCACACCGTTAATTCTAGCGGCGACTGCCGGTCACGAGAAAATCGTGGAAATTCTTTTGAACCACGGTGCAGATATCGAAGCACAGTCGGAGCGAACAAAAGACACTCCGCTGTCGCTGGCGTGTAGCGGCGGGCGCTACGAGGTAGTGGAGCTCATCCTCAGCCGCGGCGCCAACAAGGAGCATCGGAACGTCTCCGACTACACGCCCCTCTCCCTCGCCGCCAGTGGAGGATACGTGAACATCATCAGATTACTGCTCACTCATCAGGTATGTTCTCTTCACAACTCTACTCATTATTAATGTTTCGCAAAGACTATTACTTTGTATTTGCTTAATTTCAGAAATTCATGTAATACTTGGTGGTTTCAGGCTGAAATCAATTCTCGAACTGGTTCGAAACTAGGTATTTCCCCTCTTATGTTGGCTGCTATGAACGGGCACACGGCGGCCGTGCGCCTTTTGTTGGATTGCGGCTCCGATATCAACGCGCAGATAGAGACCAACCGGAACACCGCTCTCACCCTCGCCTGCTTCCAAGGTACGGATCGTCCCGCTGAAGTAATGTATTTAGACACTTTTTGTACATACAATTGTACAATGACAGTTTTGATTTTTGACCACTCTCCACTAACTACATTATAAACCTTAATTCCAATGTTCAGAGACTACTTTAGTATAAACAAATTTAGAGGATGATTTTCAACAATTTTCAACGGGTTAATGGGCGTGGGTTGGCATTCTCTACCAACCAGATGCAGAGAAGTATTACACTAGGTTTTAAACAAGTTTGTATCCATAGAAAAACTATGGTACTAAATGAACAGCTGTATATAAATAAATATATCTCAGTATATACAAACCAATACTACATATTGATATGAAACATGAATATAATTATATAAAAGTACATATTTAATATAATATAATTGTATACATAATAAAGTCCGTAAAGAGTAAACGTAGTGTGGGAGCGGTAGTAAGGTGGCGTGTGGCCGCAGGTCGGCACGAGGTGGTGAGCCTGCTCCTGGACCGCAAGGCCAACGTGGAGCACCGCGCCAAGACGGGGCTGACGCCGCTCATGGAGGCGGCCAGCGGCGGCTACGTGGAGGTGGGCCGCGTGCTGCTGGACAAGGGCGCCGACGTCAACGCGCCGCCCGTGCCGTCCTCGCGCGACACCGCGCTCACCATCGCCGCCGACAAGGGACACACCAAGTTCGTGGAGCTGCTGCTGCAGAGGTCCGTGCCAACCGCTCTACCACCGCGTGGGGTCACCTGGGCTCAGTGCCTACATTGTATACTTTATTACAGGCGAGCAGCGGTTGAAGTTAAAAACAAAAAAGGCAACTCTCCCCTATGGTTGGCGGCAAACGGAGGACATCTCGCGGTGGTCGAGATGTTGTACGCTGCCGGCGCAGACATTGACTCACAGGACAATAGAAAAGTAGGAACAAAATGCTCTCAGAATTAAGACAAGTGCTTTCCCTTGAGGCACTGATGAATAAAGATCGTGTTCATTAACTATTTTGTTTTTACGTTTAGGTATCATGCTTAATGGCTGCATTCCGCAAAGGCCATACTAAAGTGGTTAAATGGATGGTTGGCGTAGTAACGCAATTCCCCTCAGATCAAGAAATGACAAGGTACGCTAAGGTTTCTGAGATACATTAGAATAGTGTCACAATAGAGTTAGATTAAAAACGAAGACATTCGCAGGTACATCTGTACAATCTCGGACAAGGAACTACTGGAGAAGTGCCAGGAGTGCGTGCGAGTGATCCGCGCGGCCAAGGAGACGCAGGCGGCGCGCGCCAACCAGAACGCCACCATCCTGCTCGAGGAACTCGACGCCGAGCGCTGCCGCGAGGAGTCGCGCCGCCAGGCCGCTGCGAGGCGTCGCGAGCGGAAGAAGAAGAAGAAACTAGAAAAGAAGGTACCTCACTCCCCCCATTTATTTGTTGGCTCCAACACTATACTATCATACTCTTATACGCACCTCCTCCCACATTATTCAAATCCAATAATAAATTTGAAAACAATATTAAATCGAAATAAACGCTCGTCGATCTGAATACAAATATAGTTATAATAATTTTTAATTCATTTATGAATGGTTTGTTTTATTCGAGTGTTGTAAATATATGAGGTCGTTAAAAGGGCAGCTTTACAAAACGGTTTAGTCTTGCATGCAGGAAGAACGGCGTAAGCTGCAAGCTGAAAATGACAAGAACTCTATGTATTGTGACAAGGCTCTGGGCGAGTGCTCCGAGGGCGGGGAACCAGACGACGAACCCGTAGCCAAGGAAGAAGGAGACTCAGGCATTGATGCAAACTCACAGGTAACCACTACTATCATAATATTTAATTTTATGGTACTCTCAATTTTGTCACAAAATTATTTTATAAATCACGAATGTAATTTATTCTTGTAGGGTTCCTGTTCGTCTTCCGATGTAAAAGCTCCGCCAGTTCAAACTACTAAGTCTAAAAAGAAAAAGAAAGAAGAGAAGGCAGCTCCCGCTCCACCTGCACCACCTGCCAAGAAACAACCAGATAAAGTAAGTTACAATAAACTAAACCTACATTAACTGTAAATGAATATTATTCAGTTTTAAATTTTCATCTATGTCTTAGTGCCTAATTAACGTATTTTTTTCGCAGAGCAAACCTAAAATAGAGCCAAAACCTGAGAAAGAAAGTACCCCGAAACCTGACAAGAAGCAGGAGAAAGAGAACGTAGCTCCGAGCTCTCCCCCCGCCACCCCAGTAAAGCCCACGCCGCCGCCTGAACGACGCCCGGCTGACAAGAAGGACAACAAGTTAGTATACTTGTCACGAGACCTATCTGGCCTTTCTAGCTTCCTATATCTGTGCTGACGACGTTGATACTGAATGAATATGCTGAAATATCGAAGTACCAGTGACGATATTAGCCCTTACTTAAATAAAAAAAAAATCTCAATAATCGTTTTCAATCAGTACATCAGTCCGCATTTTATGCATGTGTTTTACAGTTTGAGTGAATGATAATTTAATTGATAAAACGCTTAATAATTTTTGTTTTACTGGCTACATTCTTATCATTATGTAAGACCACAATAACAAATTTAGATGAAAGTTTATCACGGAAACTGTATCCAAAAGGGGGGCTTAAAGTAGTAAATATTGTTCTTGCAGAAAACCTGAAGAGGAAAGCCCTAAGAGCATTACAGTACAGAATGTTAACAAATATGGGAATAACTCTAGAAAGAGTCAAGTATTCGAATCCACTAGGCACATTGTGGAAAAAGACGATCTTGACACAAGCGACAAAAATAAAAAGACGCACAACATGCATCAGTAAGTTCGATCACCATGTAAACGTATCGCGCCACCATTCAATGAACACACAAAATCAGTGTCAAACTATTATATTATATTACCCCCCTATATTCTCGCGGTCCCTGCATGTTCTCACGCGGCCTGGTGTATTTGCTTTGTTATATACTTGGTCATTGATTTTTGGACTCGGCTTATTTATATTTGGGGTTGTTGCATTTAGAGTGACGAATCTGAGGCTTAATTTGAAATCTGCCTAATTTACCTAGTAATAAATTATTTTTCGATAAACTCACTTGAGCTCACCAATGAATCATCATCAATGAGTTACGACGTAAGCAGTAAGCACCATATCTGCAAGGTTTCTAGACGAATTCTTGAAGGAAGACTTACCAAATTAAATAATACCAACCCTAAGCTTATTATATTCAATTTAGTAACAAAAAGATTTTGATCTAATTAAATAGTAATTCAACCACTTTCGATTCCATTAAACACTTGTACACACGAAACAATATTTATGTTATTTATTGTTGTGGTTATTTCTCTTCTAATTCTGTATTGTCTATAATAGATGGGAGACGGAAGGCAAGAGCACGTCTCCCAAAGGCGGTTGCGTCGGCGGACGGCGCGAAGAGGGCTGGAAGGAGGTCGTACGCAAGTCCAGTGTACAAACGCTCTCTACTGTGGAACCTGGGTATGTAACCTAACCTAACCATTTCATACAATCGTGTTCCTCTATGCATTTTTTCTTGAGAGGTAACCTAGATTGAGTTTACTATAATAAAGTTACTAACATCACAGTGTTATTGTTAAAGTTGCAAGAAAGTGTCAGTGGCGTCCCACGCAATCTCTCGAGTTATTGGGCGTGCAGGAAGTAACATCAACGCCATTAGATCTGCTACGGGCGCTCATATTGAAGTGGACAAGCAGAGCAAAGGACAGGGCGAGCGTATCATCACTATTAAGTGAGTTTTCTTGAATATTGTAATAAACACTATACTTTGTGGTGTTCATAGAAGCTTTGAGTTGATTGAATAATATTTTTTCTCTATCTTTTTATTACAGGGGCTCAGCGGAAGCGACTAAACAAGCCGGTATGTTAATCGCGGCGATGATCCGCGACCCCGAGGCGGACATTGTACAACTACTGCCGCGCGCCACTGCCAAGCCAGCGCCGCAGCCCTTACCGCTGCAGCCCAAGACGCCCAAGCAGCCACCGCCCAAGGTACTTTTAATGCCTATTCGATTTTATTTTTATGGAATAAGAGGCAAACGAGCACACGGATCACCTGATGGTAAGTGATCAGCGCCGCCCATGGACACCCCCAATACCAGAAACTTACAGGTGCGTTGCCGGCCTTTTAAAAAGGAATACGCTCTTTTCTTGAAGGTTTGAAGGTCGTATCGGTTCGGAAATACCACCGACGACAGATCATTCACATTTTATTCATGATAGTAAACATCAACGTATCAATAGTTGAGTAATACTTTGAGTAATACTTTTGACGTTCGATGTGAACAGACGTGTGCATTATACATACTGTTGAATTAACGCAAGAGTGACCTACTAAATTATTTTTGCTTAGTTTGAAATTTATTATTTTATAATGGAAACATAATCATATTTAATAAAAATGGATAAAATCCCGAGCAACCTGGCTTCCTGTGCCTCACCCACGTGTGTATGTATGTATGTATATTAAATAATCAACTTTACTTTAATTTTGATCGATTACTTATGTTAAGGAATTTGTTTATATAAATAACTTGTCCTAGAATTAGTAATATTGTGAGTGCTCCTTTCGCCTGTGATACAGGATATTCTTCCTAGTACAGGCATTCAAACCTAGTGAGATCTCTGATTTTAAATTAAGATGTTTATCTGTACCACGACCAATTTCTTATAATGAATAAAGATTTATTATTATAATAACCTTTGCGTGTCCATTTCCTGTATACAACTGGTGTCTGTCCCCAGCAGGCCGCCAGCAGCTGCAGTAGCGCGGCCAGCAGCCGGGCGCCGGCCGCCGCGCGCGCGCCCGCCAAGCTGCACGTCCGGCCCGCGCCGCCGCGCCTCTCTCACTGTCAGTATCACTTCTGTACTCATACTCAATCGTTACTCAATTTTAAGATACTCAAGAATGGTTCTCTCACTACAAATTCTTTGTAAAATAACAGAGATGGCATGATATTTAGGTACGACTTAAAATTGAGTAGCATTTCAGTATCCGAGTGTTAGCTTACCTATGAGGATATAAGAGATTCTCTTAATGTCTTAATTCAAATAAGTAGTCTTTGTAACCGATTCACCACTCGAATCGATGTTTAGGTGATTTTGTAATGTAAACATTGTTTGGTTCGATAGCGGTGACGAGTACGGAGAAGCGCGTAGCGACTTCGAGTGGGTCGGCAGTGAGCACGACGGGGCCCGGCAAGGGAACCGGCGCGCTTTCTTACACCGGCGCCATCGTCGGCGCGCGCACGCATACCTTCGCCGCCAAGCTCACCGCCGCGCCCGCGCCCGCGCCTGCGCCTCCCCCGCCTGTCGACGGCAAACCCAGGCCGCCGCCACAGGTACATATACTTGTATCACCCACACGTTTACCACCTTCTATATGCAAAGAATAACTAAACGGACCGAGTGTGTCGCGCAGCCCGCGAGCGGCCCGAGCAGTAGCCCGGGCGCGGGCCCGGCCGGCAGCGCGCTGTCGCCGCAGAAGACGCGCGAGGCGTCCCCCGGCCCGGCCGCGCCCGCGCCGCCGCACAAGCCCGACGACAGCGACAAGCAGCACCGTCTGCCTGACCGCACCGTGCAGGTACTTTACAATATTCACACTTCTACTACTTGCCTATGTTCTCAACAAACCACTACATTCTAACGATACAATGTCGCTTCCAGCTAAGCCCTGATAACTCAAACTCGTGGAGTGCTAACGAGGAAGCTACAACAAACACCTCCACAGCGCTACATATTAATACCACACCCCAAGTAAGTAACTATATTTTAATACCACGACTTATTCATGTATGTGAAGAATAACATTTTTAATTTGTTCTAGCATTAAATTGAGTGGAATTAGTTTGTATAAATTATGTTAGTAGATAAGACAAAACCCTTTAAACCAGTTGTCCAATCAAGAATTAGATAATTAGTGTTGTAAACATTGGCCCCTTATTGTTGAATGAGAGCTGATGTTATTGTGGAAAGAGATTATAACGTTTTTATTACGACCGAACTAGGTCTGATTGACATAGGAAGAGTATAATATTTACTTTTAGTGATTTGAAGTTGTTAGTTATGTAATATTGAAGTTATTATTAAAACAATGTAAGAGCGCGCAATGTGTAAAGTAAAATATACTTGACCCCAGACGACGAGTCGCGCAGGCGGGCAGGAGTACTCGCTGTTCAAGGACGTGTCGGGCGGCGCGGCCGTGTGGGGCGCCGCCGGGGACAACCACCACAACGTCGAGCCCCCGCCGCCGCAGGTCACTCACTTCAATATGGTAACTTTCATTACTATACTTTTGTTTTACCTCCTTCCTAGTCATACATAATGACACAAGCAATTGTAAACGTTATTTGTCTCCGTTATTATGATTAGAAAGACTTTTCTCAACATTTTTCTACCATTTCAACATTTTCTGACAGAAAAGTGTTGAAGGCAATAGAGAACACTAGATCAAGTCGATGGACTACAGATTTTTTTTATGTATTTTGGACTTTATTTATATTTATCAGTAGGGGAAACCAATAAGTTTGCGTCAATTAGCAGCAAATGTAGTGAAGTGACCGTGTGCGCAGGTGGACGCGAGCAAGGCGCCGGGCTACCGCGGCGGCGGCGGCGCGGGCGGCGGCGTGTCGCCCTGCTCGCGGACGTCCTCGCACGGCAGCACGCCGCCGCCCGCCTACGCGCAGCCCTCCTACCACCAACCCATGCCGCTCGGGAACCACGGCGCCCACGGTAACTATGCTCTACACATACGTCTACTTACGCTCTTGTCACAAACAACCAGGCAGTAACCATACAACGCCATACCACTACTTACCATTACTTGATAATACTGTGAGCACTGCGTATCTTCTATTAATTTTATAATAAAGATGCTAAATAATTTACTTGAGCGTCGTAAGGACCTAGTGGATTTTGAAGATATGTTGATAGACAGAAAAAATAGTAACAATTTCTTCCACCGGTGGGGAAAGGAGGAATCCACAGATCTTTGAAATTGTCACACATAACTTTTGTTCTAGTGGTCGAGCATGTCAGATATTGATAATGTACATGCTCCATGGGTCTTTGATAATGAAGAAGTCTTAATCTGCCAGTTTGCATGATGGGGTTGAATGTTCTGGAAACAAGAACCCTTCAAAATCCCCCACCCTTGTAAATCAAGCTCGAATGGGCAGATTTTTTAAACACACTTCCTTTAGCGTGCTATAGACCTCTCTTCCCTTAATCTGACGAAACTGACTTATTTAGTCAGATTTATTTTTTAGTCCCTCTTCTAATCAAATCGGATATATGGTGGGTATATTCAACATGACACTAGGTTTTCCCCATATATTAATCTGACGCGCTCGAGTAATCGAATATGGCCCAGCTTGGTCCAGGCCCATGATTTACCTAGATAATAATATTTTCTATTTTACTTCATCCTATGAACATATAACTCACATCGATATTTATTCACATTTTAGGTAACAACGTGAATACAATGGACATGAGCGGACTTTCCCGGAATGGACCTATTTATCAAGACAACTCCAGAAATGGCCACAATATGATGGTAAAATATTAAATTAACATTTTATAATACTACACTCATCGGCACGGAAACTTGGCCACCAACTAACTCGCCGATAATTTCTATTTAAATATTTAGTTTTCGCTATATTATGGGTTTATGCACTAAATTAGAGTTTTTTCATGGTTTAGTAACTCAGTTATTGAAAAATTGATGCACCAGCAGTAATCTTTTAAAAAATAAGCATTTTCACAGAAATATTGATTTTAACACTGTCAATTTAAAAAGAACACAAAATGAAAAATAAACGTAAAGTCTTCATTGTTTTTGCATTTTAATATTGGGTGTTTCCTCCCCTAGCCCTGATAACAGCTTGCATTCGTTCTGGCATACTTTGGATGATGTTTCTGATCTCAACTTGTGGTATGCTTTCCCAAGCGGTCAGTGCTGCATTTCGAAGCTGGTTCAGAGTTTCAGGCGGGTTGGAGGAGGACTTTATTTTTCTTTTAAGCATGTCCCAGATATGCTCTATTGGATTTAAGTCTGGACTACGAGCTGGCCACTGCAATTTTTGAATACCAACCTCTGTAAGGTATTCCTCCACGCAATGTGCAACGTGTGGGCGCGCGTTATCGTGCATTAGGAGGAATTCGTCGAACCCAAGAAACCCCGAATACGGCAACACATGTTCCTGAAGAATCTCCTCGATGTATCGTGTTGCCGTTAATCGGTTATCGACGATAACTAACTCCGTACGTGCATCGGAACTTATTCCTCCCCAAACCATTATAGAGCCTCCATGAAAACTAACAGTTTGTGTGGTGGTAATGGGTAAAAACCGCTCTCTTCTTCTTCTCCATACTCGCTCCCGACCATCTGGAGCTCGTAAAGCGATTCGACACTCATCTGTGAACAGTACTCGAGCCCACTGCTGTTGGGTCCAGTTGACGTGTTCTCGTGCGAATCGTAGTCGAGCTACTCGGCGACTTCTGAGAAGTTCTGGGCCACGTGCTGGTCTACGAGCTTTTAAATTCATTTCCTCTATTCGTCTTCTCACTGTACGTTCACTAACATTGACACCTCTTGTGAACTGGAGTCGCCGGCGTATCTCAACAGCGGTGAGGTAGCGGCTTCTCAAAATTTCTAGGACAATAAAGCGATCATCCCTGGCTGATGTGCATCTGACTCCTCCGCTGCCTGGTCTGCGGGAGTAGCGGCCTGTCTCCTGGTATTGTTTCAGCGCATACTGCATCGATGAACGTGGTACATTCAGAATAACAGCAACTTCTCGCTGTGTCAGCCCTTGTTCGATCAATGCTACAGCTTGTGCAACCTGTGATGGTGTTAATGGCATTTTTATTGGAATCAAATCACCTTTAGTCATTGCAGAAACAGTACGATATGACAATAATTGAATAACCTAACAATAAACTTTCACAAAACACAAATTTAAAACAGCAACTTAGTCGCTCAGATGACCGGGTTCAACTAAAACTTAAAAATAACGTCATATTGCACTCAAACGTGATAAATTACCCTCTTGAACTAAAGGTAAACATTTTTTAGACCTACTTTCATAATAAATAATCATAGGAAACACTTAAAGCTCTTGTTATCGCGAAATACGCACTTGGCCAAGATTCCGTGCCGGTGAGTGTATAAAGGCTGAAAAACTTTTTTTTTATGGCATAAGCCGGTAAACGAGTAGACGGATCACCTGATGGTAAGCAATCGGCGTCGCCCATGGACACCTGGGACACCAGAGGCGTTACAAGTGCGTTACCGGCCTTTTGGGGATTAGGAGTTCGAGGATCGTTGGGGATTCAAGAATTGGGGGATTGGGGAAGGGGAGGGGGTAATTGGGCCTTCGGTAACCTCACTCACACGACGAAACACAACGCAAGTGTTGCTTCACGTCAGTTTTCTATGAGGCCGTGGTATCACTCCGGTCGAGTCGGCCCATTCATGCCGAAGCATGGTTCTCCCACTCTTAAACTCCCACACTTTGCACTTGGGAACTTGGTAATATTAGCAATGTATGTACATTGGAATCTGTAATTTCCACAGCAACAAGTATCGATGTCGAGCGGAGTGAACATGAGTGGCGCAGCGCTGGGACTGGGCTACGTGGGCGTAGAGTCCGTGTCCAGGCTCAACCCGCGCGCGCCCGACTTCGCGCAGAGACACCCTCTCATGCAGCAGAAGCATAACGCACAGGTAACATTCATTGCAATTTGTTGCGTTCATACTTGATTCTATTCTTTATATAACGTAAACAACGAATCGCTTTAAAATTTAGAATATTATAAATATTTTAACATATTCGTTATTTGGAATGAGTTTTATTGTGATGTTATCTAATTAGTTGATTTTTCCCGTCGGTAGTTGTTCGCGGGCACTAGCAACGCGGGCAACCTGAGCGCGCTGCTGATGTCGTACCAGCAGCAACAGGCCATGCCGCAGTCGCCCAAACCCATGCAGCACGCGCCGCAGCCGCACCACGCCTACCAGGTCGCTACATCACGCCATCCTATACTCCGTACATCTTCTACTGTCTTGTATGGCTTCAATGTGAAATATTTGTAACAAACCGTTGCCTAGCAGTCAGTGACAGAGAATCAACAATATTTTCTTCAATGAATAGGATTCTATTGTTTGGGACCCTGTTAATTTGGACCGGATTTCTGATTTCATAGATACCAACATGTGAAATAACATGTTATTTGGGGTTTTTACAAATATTGTACGCAAAGTTTGACCTAAGTATCTTGTAAGTAGTCAAAGCTAACATTACGTTCTGTGCGCAGTCCCTACTAGAGCGCGGCGTCGGAGTGAGCTCAGGCGGCTGGGGCGAGGAAGAGGAGCGCAAGCCGCGACCCATCGGCACCGAGCGCGCCTGGAAGCTCACCGCGGCCGAGGACTGGGGACACGCGCACGTGCACCATCAGCTCGCCGAGCCCGAGCGCTACGGCGCCATGGGCCACGCCGGCCACGCGCTGGACGGCGCGTACGGCGGCGTGGGCAGCGTGGGCGGCGGCGCCACGGCCGCGGCGCTGTCGCTGATGCACGCGCTGCCGCTGCACTACCTGCCGCCCGTGGCGGCGCCCGAGCCGCCGCCGCACTGGGACCCGGCGCACGCCGCCGACAAGCAGGTACCTGGCCCGCGCCGCTACTGACGCCGCGTCCGCTGCACTCCGACCTCACCTTTGTCGCTTGTCGCCAGGCTTGGAGCAAGTGGACTCACTAGAGCCGCCCGGGGGACCCGAGGCCGCGCCGCCGCGTCCGCCCCAGCCCCACAGGATTATATATAATTGTAACCCTTGGAAACGGTGTAGATATTAGTGAGAAAGAATTATATTATACAGATTATCTATATACATAATAGAGAAGATGTCCTATCGAGAAGAGAACTACTTATACTGTACGATCGACTGAAGTGAGCATTAAACGATTCATTATAATGAAACTCGTGAGGGGAGTCGGATGTAGTTTTATTTGTTACTGCCGCTCGCCGGTCGCGACGTTACGTTTAGACGAATTATAGTTATGTTATAGTCGGCGTCGCCGTTTCATCTGATGTAGATATACGCGTAAACGAATGTAATAGTAGGTAGCTTGGAATGTGATTCCGAAGTGCCGCTGAGTGTTTTGAGTTGCCTTGCGAGCGGTCGCCGCCCGCCGTCTATTATACATATTTTACACTATATTATGGCATAATGCGATATTATTTCGATGATTGGTACGCTCGAAAACCAAGGCGGAATATTAAACATGTATTAATAAATTTGCTTGTACATGAAGATTAAATATCGATATATTGATGCACTGTATCCACTGGTGTTTTTAATAATACCACCTGTTTTTCAATAAATTCTTTTTTTAATAGGTTTATTTGGGGAATGTGTATATTTATAAGTAAATTATTATTGAGGACTTACTTTGTCTCGAATATAATTAAAGCAAGATATGCGGTAAGTTCTAGGCAAATAAACCGTTGTCAATGTAACTTGCGTATGTTTTTGACTAGGGTCTAGCTTATATTATTATCAAGCACTCCTTGAAGCTCATATTATTATATGATACAATATTGTTTGCAAAAGAATTTACTTTTTATTAAAACAATAATTGAGATTCATCATTCTTATTTACATTTATTATAATAATTACACTTAAAATATCTATGAACAACATACATTATGCACTCCTGATAATTAATTTCTGTAAATCAGCACAACAAATGCTATGCTACATCTACACAAACATAGGAATTTATTTTAAATGCATAGAAATTAAAACAATATTGTTACATCTATTTTGGCAAAGTGGAGAACAGCGTTAGAGCTCAGTATGACGTTCCAATATTTTGCTCTCGAGGTCAGCATGTAGCTTGGCAACCTTTAAGGAATGTTTCTTGATCATCTGCTCTTGTTCTTCAAAGTGGTTCATTTTGTCACCGGCGCCAGCAATCTTCTATACATATAATAAAACTTTAAAAGTGAAAATTCTGTGCATTGAAGAAATATTGAGATGAAGTCTGTTAAAAATAGTGGAGGGTGCTATGTTACTAGATAGACATTGAACCCAAAAATATGTTTAAAAAAAATTATTATTTGTCAGTTTGTTCGTTCACGCATCACGCAAAAACTACCGGTCCGATTATGATTATATACTACTGGGTATCACACTGGGTACTTTTTATTCCGAAAAAGTGAATAGAATAAAAAAGAAAGAAAGAAAAATACTTTATTTCACACGCTAAAACAAGTGACACATACAATTTTCCACATAGGTTTATAAATACATATCTACTAATGTCCCACGTCTGGTTCGGGGGTTCAAGGGTTCAAAGGCCTCGCGCTGGTATTCTACTGGCCCCTTAAGTGACTCTTAAAACAAACTTAAATGTGCGGCTTGATCCTTAGACACAATTACCAAACGCAAATATAAGTTTCTCGAATGTTAGGGTGCCCATAGTCGACCTTACGCTGTCACTGTAGGGCCGATGGTTGAAATTACAGTTTTTGTGTTTGTGTGTATATTTCTTATACAGTCACATCAAAACGGCTGTAGGGATCGGGATGAAATTTATATTTTTTTTAGAATATGGTCTGGTACTCCACGTGTTTTTTTTAACCCGGGTACACGGGCGAAGCCGCTGGCAGAAGCTAATTGCATATATATAAAAATATCCATCAATGAATCAACTGAATCAACATTTCCAAAATGAAAGTTCTGATTTGACATTTCTTTCTACAAACCTCTTGTACGGTTCGTACACTTGCATATTGTAGTTAATTGTTGGAGTGTGAAGAGAAAAGAACACGAAGTTAAGATTGTACGAGTTGTAGTTGAAGAAGTTGTATTACTGATAGTTACACTAGTTCGTCGATATTGACTATTCCTTTCTCTTAAGTAGTTTGTGTTATCGTTGTAATATTCACACTGGTCCGTGTATTTATAATTAGGTAAAAATGACGCGCAGGACTGCTGTGTCATCTAAAGGCATGTACAGTTGAAGACCTACACCACTATTACATTGTAGATCTATTGGAATGTTCATGTCTTTGCGTTCATAGGTCAAAGTTAATTGCAAAATGAATGACTGAGACTGCTTGAGTAGTTGGTCGTTTTGGAACCAATCAAAGTATCGATTTTTAAGAAAATCTTACATAATTACTGATTCCCGCGATTCGAATTTGGATTTTTTATTAGTTTTTCCAAGGTTAATTCCAATGCTATGTAACAAATCTCATCAGAATCGATTCAGTACCAAAATGTGTATGTATATGTATTGTAATATGAATTCAAATGATTTCACAAAATAAATCTCACAGTGGTTTTGAAAATCATCATACGTCCGTTTCTCAGGTTTCAAATTATCATTGTACAAAATTGTACTCAAATAGGCTCACTGGTATAAGCGATAGAGTCCCGGAATTTTAACGCATAGTTTCTGTCTCGTTGAATTTCCGGGATAAAACAATCATACGTCCTCTTGGGTGCCAGTGTCTCAATCTATCGTGAAACAATTTCAATCAAAATTATTATGGCAAATAGTTACATATGATATCGCGCGCGCACTTTTTACGTTATCAACGTTATCCTCTATAAGACTGAGTACATCCCTTGGCTCTATTGTCCGTTATTTCCACAGCATAAGCAATACCAATAATATAAGGAGTTCTTTTGGGAGTTTTTCACACATTTGATTAACATTACCTAAAGGAGACCGGCAAACTTTCATAGTTAATTTGGCCTTGACAGACTAAAATGAAATACTATGGGTTTGTAAGGACTAATGTTAGTATTCAGTACTTTGTAATTGGTTTTTGATATATTATGAAGAAATGCGAATTTAAGTTACTCTTTAGACTGCTGTCAACCTCTTTGCAAAGCTTAATGTTAATAACATCCAATGACTTCTCCCGCCTTGGGTTAGGCGAGAGGGAGTGCCAGACTCTTACTGACTGAAAACCACCCCGTTCCTACTCTCTGCTGCTGCACTGCTCTTCAGGCCGGACCCCGATTACCCGACAGGCTTTCCGCGGCACCGTAATCTATACATAATATGACAATTTTTTTGGGTCAGTTTGTCTTTCACGACAGAGGAGCCAGAAGTTGATGTGGTTTATTTTTGACTAGAGATAATTAAAAAGACTGTCAGTAGCATGGGCTACTTTTTGTGTCTTTCTAACCACGCAATTCCTTAAAATAGGAAGGTGGAAGTTTGTATGGAGCATTTCGCAATTTTCTAGGTAGAAAGCTAAAAATTGGTATGCGGATTATTTGTGACCGGCAAAAAGTTCGTGCACCATTTCTTTATCTTTTGTAGACCTAGTTTATGAATAAAATGTATTCAGTTCATTGAATTCATCTATAAAATCCGTGATCCTAATGCATCTAAATATGTACTAATATTAGTCCTTGGAAACCCACAGCGTTTACCTTCAACAATTTTCTATTGGTACATTTAGTAGTAGTGTAGTAGTTTTTTGGTAGCTTTTTCACACATCCATTATCGAAATTTTCACACAGTTACTATTATCATTAAATATAGTAGCCTATGTTCACCAGGCATAATGTAGGATTCAAATCGGTCCGGTAGTTTCGCAGCTTATTCAATCAAACAAACAAAATATCAAATCTTTCCTCTTTATAAGATTAGATTATATGGTTAAATACAAAATTGAGATTGACGTGTCAGGAATTAGCCGTAAAATATGACTCTTTCCCTCTCATTACACAAAGTATTTTGATTAAACGGGCTGTCTAATCAGGTCTCTTAGGTAAAGCGATTAAATTATTAATACAAAGGTCACTTTCAGACACTACTATACAAAAGTATGGAACTAGTAATTTCTTTGGATTATATGTTATAACTGACATCATTACCCATGCCATAGTAAACTAAGTAGTAACTTTAAAATGTATAAAGTTAAAATACAGGAGATTCAGTTACAATACAAGATAAAGAATGTATATAAATTTTAATGATGTCTGTTATAACAACACACACCATGTTTACTCTCCAAACTTGCTATCAAAATAGCACGCACAATCACGCTGATTAAGATAATAAAACATAACATAAAAATATTTCCTATTAATAAAAGATAGAACAAAATATAAATAACCTGGTCCTTATGTTCCTCGCGATTGCTTACATTATTTGCTTGTAAATGACGTAACTTTAACAATCGCGACTCGTAGTGCTGCAGTTCCACCTGAGAATGAAGTACAGCAAAGGGTTAGTATAAGAAGAAAGGCGTTATGAGAAAATCGTGCATAGTAACATAACTGTGTGGGTGGTCAAGACAAAACTAGAGCTGGTTTTGGTGATATATTTTTCAAAATACTTCATACTTATTTAATTTTGTTAATGCTAAATTAAATGTTCACCATTTACCAGTTATGTTATTACATCACACTTCACAGAGGGATAAGTTACCTTCAATGAAGCCAGTTCTTCAGTAGTAAAGTTGGCTGCAACAGCCATTTTCCAGAGACCTTGCACTTTAGGTTCTATGAAGTCTTTATTGTTTGGAGCTGAAAAATAAATACATCAAGGTAAGTACAATTTTATTATAATTATTCTATGTAATCAGAAATAAAATAATGGGAACCCAACCACTGCATAGGTTACTGTTAAGGAAAACTTGGAGTTAATCTGCCTGAAACACCAATATAAGAATGATTTATAACAGCTGATCTGATAAATATTGGGTTTTTTATATTGAAATTCTCACCAAATAATGTTTTAAATGGTAAAAATGCAAGGGTTTAAATTAAGAATTATTTTGAAATAAGTTTATACATAGTAACAGTCTTATAATGTGACCTAAATACAACATTTTTTCACTGGTAGGGATCATAATGATAACCCCAATATTATCTAAATGCCTTTATGAGCTTCTATCATATTCATGAAATAAGTTTCTTTTGGTTGAACAATATTATTAGTACAGAATCAATCATGTACCTGACTTTAGAGACTAGATAATTGGTGCAGTGGCGGGGCATTGGTCTGGCGTGCAGAGCCGCGGGTTCGATTCCCGAATGAAACAATTACGTCCTGTGTTAGTATGGAAAATCTGTGCTAAACACTTATGACATAGTAGAAAACCTGTAGAACATTGGAAAATACATTTTACAACAACTTACCTTTAGCAACCACCCTCTGTAGCCTGTCATAGCCATCTCTCAAATCTCTATGCTTTTCTCTGATTAGATTAGCTTTATCAATGTAATCCTTTGTGTTCTCATTTGTGTGTTCACTGATTTCATTGAATTTGTCTAATTCATCTTCATTGATAATATCTGAAAATACAGAAGCAATCTTAACATATTATTCATAACTACAAAATATGTATCATTCTAAAATACATATCATATTTTAATAATCTACTTAATGTTTTTGCTGTCAAATTATAAGAAGTAATTTTATAGAAAATCTTACTTTTAAATGCATCATCTTTGGGTGAGTCATCGGACAACAAGTCATAATACTGATCAATTTTCTCTTGATGGTGTGTAAACTCTTCTCTTAAAGCCAACAACTCTTCCATAGTGAATCCTGAAGCCTCTGCCTTTGTCCAGAGATAATTAAGTTTTTTATCTTTGAAGATACTCTTATTGATGTAGTCATCCATAGCAGAGTTGTAAGCCTGTGTAAAACAAATATTTTAGTACAGAAGTGGACCACATACAGTTTGATGACTGTAACATCTATAAACCTGTTTTAAATTTAAACCCACCTTTGAATAATCTTACATCTTCCAACTCACATATCAACAGCCATAAATGCCCACTGCTGAGCAAAGCCCCTTCTCACATGGAGAATGTTTGAGTCATTCATTTACTCAATGCAAGTTGGCATTTTCAAACTTATAATTAGAAATTAAATAAGCCTAGGTTTCCTCACAATGTTTTCCTTCACCATTTATCAGTGCTGTCTAAATGATCTTAGAAAGTATGTACATGTAACTCGGAAAAAGCCATATTTCTAATTGCCGTTAGTAGGTTTCGAACCCGCAAACTCATGTACGGGAAGTAGGCGTCTTAAGCCTCCCATCACCATGATCTTAAATCTTCCAAATTGGTAATTTAACATTACGACTAAATGAATATTTTAATGTATAGTAACGTTTCAATTATTTTGTCCTAGTAGTCCTACAGTCATGTACAAGCAACAATAGGTAGGTATTATGAAAATTACAGCTGTGTTAATGTTTCATCTGTAAAAGCAATCTATTATATGTTTTTTTTTTTTTATCTCAATGTGTTTATCAGTGTTTTTTTTTTAATCCATCTCATTACGATTAATTTATTACTTTTTTTTTAACAACGATGTTATGATTTCATAGCATTTTTTTATTGAACAGTATAATTATCATAAAATAGGATTCATTTCTCAATAATATTTAAATGTGTACTTACAGGATGGTCTTTCTCCTTAGGCGCATTAGGTTCAAAGTGATGCAGAAGTCCATAACTTGACATGATGTTAGTTAATTTACGCCTTAGTTCTGCTTCTTTTAGCCCTTCCTTATCACCTCCTTCACTTTTTACTCTTTTGTATATTAGTTCTTCTTTGTCTTGGATCATCAAATCACTGTATAAGGATTTCAGTTTAGGCTCTGTGAGGCGCTGCAACATATTTTTTTTTAAATAGGCTACATTCGTAAAAAAAAACATTTAATTGAGAAAAGTGCTCATAATCATATGCAGTAACATTACCTATGAGTAGAATACATATTAAACTGTCAAACACCAGTAGAATACATATTAAAGACTGATAATATCACACATTCTAAAAGAGTAGGCAAAGGTGGAAATGTATATTGTAATAATTAATTTATACCAGTAAAGATATGATACAATACTACTAATTTTGTTGATACATTATATCTTAAAAATAAATTAGTACCTTTATGCAATATTCTTGCTGTGTACCAGAAAATAAAAAATATTATTTACCTGTCGAGCTTTTGTCCATAATAAATTAAGTTTATTCATTCTAAATGGTTTATCCAAACTTCTGAATTCTACATCAGATTTTTTCTTTTCATTTGCTGATCGTGAATATTTATTTTCACAAAAAACAGAAGATATTATGATTAAGAAACACAGAAATGTTTGTGAATAAATATTCATTTTGGTGTAGAGTTAATTTAATTTCAATAAATGAAGTACTATTAATTGCGATATAGAATCGAATGCGGTCTAATAAGAAAAAATGACAACAGACGAAGCTAAAGCCGACACAACACAATTAATCAATGACAATTTGACATGATTCCTTAGTCATTGTGCCACAGACTACTAAGATAAAATGTTTTTTTTGAGGGGGGGAAAACATTCAATCACTTCTGCAGTCTAAAAGCGCTAAATGGCATTTGGCTAGCACTGCTGCCCAGGTGAGACGAGAGGGAGTGCCAGACTCTTACTGACTAATAAAAACCACCCCGTTCCTACTCCTGCACTTCGAGCCGGAGCCCCGGCAACCCGTTAAGTTCTCCGCGTTTCCGTATCGGCCCAATTGGGCCCAATCTTTGGACAGATAGCTGTAAGGCGCGTGTGGAACGCGTCGTGCCGTACGCTCGTGTTCGGTTTTGGTCTGGCGGCGAGTAACCCGTGCTCGCCGTCCGCAGGCCCGTGCTTATAGTGGCCGGAGATCGTCTCACGATCCCCGACGGAGACACTCCGGGGGGGATATCACGACGGCTAGGATGTGAGGAGGTTCTTTTCCACACACGCCCCACCTCCTATTTAGCTAGCATGACTACTTCGCAAAAAGAGGAGACGGCATCCCAGTCCTACTCGCTCCGTACTATGGTCTGAACCAGAGCCGGATGCGAAAGGCCGTCGTCGCCGATCACATCCCTGACGACACGGCGGTACTCAGCCAGCCACATCGCCACCGTATGCTCCACCGTGTCCTCTGAGCAGTCCTCGCAGTGTGACACCCGGACTCGGGCGTTTTCTTCCGCCCAATCCATGGGTGTAATCATAGACTATACATTATATACTGGGTGTAATAATCAGTGCCCCAATTCGATACATGAACGAGGTAAGCACCTACGACAGGCGATGAGGACTGAGGACCAATAACTAAAGAAAGAAGAGGACATGAACTGTGTTGATATTAGGTAGGTACTTAGCGTGCCAAAGTGGGCATAAACATGGTACGCCATGTCTCCGCCCATCAGATAGTGAAGTGACAAAACCACAGACTTAAAGTAGATAAGCAGACCCAACATTTGTGAAGTCAAAAACACTCATGCGCAATTTATAGCTTAAACGGGGCTAGAATAAGGTCGGTATTGGAAATAAATGACATTTTTATTATAATTTTTATGTATCTGTTACCGGAAATGTATGAGAATCCTATAAAATTTACATGATTCCGAAACTAGATATTTAGGAACTGTAAAAAATATAGTTTTAAAAATTGTATGTATGTACTAAATAATTTTAATAATCTCATAGTATAGAAAATTGTATAAAATATTGCTTTTTCAAATAAAACACGTTGAAGGGAGAGTAATAATATTTATTAAGACACTTGTTATGGTTAAGAATAGGAGGTAATAGTCATATCCCTCCCCTCAATAACCCTGACCACTCCCAAGCAAGACAAGTTTTTTCCTTGTTGTGTCCTGTTAAATTTTGTTGTACATTCTTAAGCATTTCAGGTATAATGATGATAATATGCAATTGTGATAAAATTGATACATAGTGGGTACATAATACAACAACTAAGTATAATACAATTGTAAAATACAAGTATGTTACATTATACAACTTTGTAGTAACTAAATACTTAATATGAAAAGAAAACAATATATTTACTAGTTTAACCTTTCGAAACACTGAATCCGTCCTCTGTTGATTCTAAGAGTACTTGAACTGTCATGAATGAATGAATGAACTAAGAGTACTTGAACTGTCATGAATGAAAAATTAAGTTGTTTTTTTCATTGCATTTTACGTAAACTTATGAGCAAATGGCGGGATACTTGATATTGATAAGGCTTTGTTATAAACGATGAAACATCAAAACAATTGATATATTTATTTAAAAAAATCGACAATTTCTTTGAGTCTCTAATAACGTAAATAAAAACCTACCGATGAATGGTTATTCTAGGTATTTTCTTATAGTTATTGCTGTTACATCGGTACGCACTGCACTTCATCATTTTATTTTAGATTATTTAAACGTTTAATGGTAGAAACAATTAATATTTTCTTTTTTATCGAGTTTGACACAGTAGTAAGTAAAATTAGCAATATGGCAGCACGGTCTATGGCAGCACGCGAATAACTGGCTACACGTCAATATTTTTCTATGTGTGGAGCAGTGTAGTTATAGGTAAAAGAACGAGACGCCATTATTGGGTTGATGCTTGACAGAACAAGGACAAAGAATAATGGATATCATTATACTTATAACTAGGAATTAATGTGTAGTCTGCTTATTGTAAGTCTATGGTACAATTTACCGAGCGTACGGCGCGTCGCGTTCCGCGCGCGCCTCATAGAGCCATCAGACCACCACAGATGGGGCCCAATACGGCCGATGCCGATTCGGAGTCGCGGAGAACCTAACGGGTAACCGGGGCTCCGGCTCGACGTGCAGGAGAAGGAACGGGGTGGTTTTTAGTCAGTAAGAGTCTGACACTCCCTCCCGCCTCACCCAGAAAAAAAAAAAAAAAAGATGATTTTCCCCCCTTAAAAAAAAAAAAAAAATGGTACAATTTAATCTTATATTTATAAAAGAACTTAAACATTTAAATGCTTTATAACTATTTATAGTTCTTACCCGATTCTCGGTACGTTTATGTTTACTTAATTTTATATGTGGTGTGCATGCTGAACAGTGTATAGCGGTCTTTATATTAGTCGTTCAAAAACTTTGTCATTACTCTTGGTTTTCTAACAGTGAGAATGAAGTGACTTTCTAACGTGTTTTATCTATTTTGAAGTTCGTGTACTAGTAGTAGGTACCGGTTGAGTTTGTTGTTTGACAGATGTGAATGTGTATTGTCGTTTCTTAACGTAGACACATAATTTTGTTCATTTTATTTTTGTACAATGGCATTGCTTGTTTAACCGTGCTTGATTCTTGTCGTCCGTGATAACAATAATAAAAAACTCTTGCAATTGTATAATAGGCATTGTTTTCCATATAGTTTAGTAACCGTGAGCGCGCCCAGTCAGCACAATGGGAACTCAATAACAGTGAATATTCCCCACCTGAGGTCTGAGGCTGCATCTGTAACGCGTCCGCGAGCACGTACATTTGAGACTGACTATCGGCACTTTCTCTCGCTGATGCGTTGCGAGTCGGTTACTCAATACGCGTTGTGCAAAGACTGGTTGAAGTCGCCGAGTCGATGTCGATATTTTGTAACGGTAGTACTTAATCTGTGAGGGTTGATGTCGGTCGTGCGAGGCTGAGAGTAGCTGGGCCAGTGTTTGATGTGTAATGTGTAAAAGTTTGGTGTGATGGTGGAACGCGAGGGTATGCGACGCGGCAGCGGTGGCGGCTGTGGCTGGGGCGGCGGCGTGCTGGGCCGCTGGTCGCTACGCCGCCTGCTGCTTGACAGCCCACTCGTGGGCCGGAGGCTTGCACACACAGGTATATCATTAATTTTATTATTTTAGAATAGATTCAACACACATATAACTAAAATATGTTTGGTTTGTTGCTTGTAACATTAAGATTCTGATAAGAGTGAATTATTGGATATGTAAATTCTTATTAATAAATTAGAAGTGAGTATCAAGCCACTTAACAATAATAATTCGTGTTGTATTTCTATGAATTTATTGTAAGTATATCTTATCTGAGATAAATTGAAATAAAGTGTTTAGCAAAAAACTAGATAGGTAGTTGAATATAATTATCACAATAATTACTATAAGAACACCTTATCAAACATATTATCCATTTATTAAGGTATCTTTAGACTCTGTATTATGTGATTGCGACATCACTATATCTTTCAAAGTTTCTTAATTTTATGTTTAATTTTCCTTATTCTGCACAAGAACAATATGGACATATCATTGAGTTTCTCTGTTTAATGCCCAATAAATATGTATTATAAATGTGATAAACACTACATTTATGCTGAACAATAATAAAATGACTGCACAACACTATCTGAAACTTTACCTTGGCACACATTTAAAAAAATCCCACTTTATTGGATTTAATTTTTGTGTTTTGGTGATCACTATATTCATAGAATATGGTGTCCAGTTAAACTTTGTTACCATTACTATGAAATTCAAGTAGATACTTAATAGAAAGCATCAGCAACTTTTTTATATTTAACTCGTCGAGTACCGTCATTATAGACACAATTATAGAACAATAGGTTACGGTCACCGGTGACCTCTTGGTATTTGACAGTTTAATGGGCTAATGTTTGACCGCTTATGGCTCATCATTATTAGTATTTATATTATGGAACATCAAACATCATGCCTACATATCCCACAAGTGTATATTATTTTAGAACTTTTATACTGTTTTTATTATTAATTTCATAATAATATAATAGAGATATCAATACCACCAATTAGACAAGAAATTAATGCCATATCCTATTACAAACATTCCAAATTCTAAGCAGAAAAAGACAATACAAAATGTTTGAGCATTCATTTAATCAGTCATTGAAATCATTAAAGTTTTATGAGCATGACCAATTGAGGCATTGAATATTAAGGTCCCCAATAATATGGGTCAATGTTACACAGCCCCGCTAAACAGGAACATGACCTTTATTGCATAAATGGTGTACCTATATGTCCCACGCTATTCTTAGAACATAAAACTGACCTATTTGTTACATATATTATATAAAAATAATGTTAGATAACATGAATGTTATCATTTCCTCATTATGTATGTATTATTTGTTTAGTGATTTCGAAACTGTTACTCAACCTTATCTTTTATGTATCACTATTAATCTTAACTTATGGTTTTCATGAATGTCCATTTTTTATAAAAATACAGTCATGTGCCTTCATTATAATTCTGTTTACATTTCATTTTTTAAGTAGGATGATTAAAATATGTGCAATGTTTCATAAGGTTTATCTGACCTTTGATAAAACAGATTGCTTTCTGAAATAAATGTAACCCGTTTCGTTGAACTTTCAATGAAATGATTCTGTGATTCAAAATTATTGAGCTAATTAGGTATAGACTTTATATTTGCACAGTGCTTAACTGTATATATATTTTATCACTAAATCTTGACTGTTTAAAAGAGGCAGAGAACAGATAATAATATTAACTCAATAACATTACATATTATCCAGTTATCTGCTGCATACAAAAATGTTATTGATTTAACTAAAAATCGTGGGTAATCTAATCTCACTTGAATATACTGAAAAAGATCTACTAGTATATTCACGTGAGTAACCTACAAGTTTTAGTTAAACTGTCAAACACCAAGTGGTCACCGGTGACCGCAAGCTATTGTTCTATAATGTCGCGGAGAACCTAACTTATAACCGGGGCTCCGACTCGACGTGCAGGAGAAGGAACGGGGTGGTTTTTAGTCAGTAAGAGTCTGACACTCCCTCCCGCCTCATCCAGGCGGGAGCAGTCATTCGATGATTTTCCCCTCTTAAAAAAAAAATTGTTCTATAATTGTGTCTATAATGACGTACTCAACGAGTTAATTTAATATATTGTCTCACAATAGATATTATAAAAATGTTATTGATTGTAAATGGGCTTTTTTCTTTTTAAACTGTCAAACACCAAGCGGTCATCGGTGACCGCAACCTATTGTTCTATAATTGTGTCTATATTGACGGTACTCGACGAGTTAAATGATTAAAAGGAAATAATATTACATTGCCTATCCATTTCATTCATCAAACTAAAACTAAAGTTGTAGTAATTGTTGTAGAAGCCCTTTCCCCACTTTCCATTCATTCTATTTTGTATTCTGTTATGGGCATGTGGTCTGAGTGCAACATACATTATTAGACAATTTAAGCAAATAAATGAACACTGACAATCACTTTCACCAGGAAAGTATTCAATTTATTGATTTCTTTGTTTTGATAAAAAAATAGCTATGTTTTGGCCGGCAAAGTACCTACATGAAATCTTAATAAATAAAGTGTCTCAGAAACAGTTCTGTGATACAACTAGAAAGTGGTTCCTGTAGACCACGAAAATACGTACAAATAAGTTCTTGGATGCCTAATTAACTCGTTGAGTACCATCATTATAGACACAATTAACTCATTAAGTAGGTACCGTCTTTGTAGACACTAGGTTGCGGTCACAGGTCCTCGCGGTGTTTGACTGTTTAAAAAAATAATATACAGATGGACAAAATTTAGAGAATTCATAGGTCATGTATTCATAGTTATTTTATTTTCTATTTTCAAAGTAAAAGTCAAAATAAATTATTTCGTTAGACCAGGCAGGCACTTTTAAATGTCAACAAAAAAATATATTTGCTCCAAGGTGTTAATTCCTATTTATTTATAATTGCCAAGCCACCTGAAGATGACACATTGGCACTACTCTGTTTAGTTAATAAAGTTAAGAAACGTCGGGTATTTCCTTATAAAATCTTGAATAGTGTGGTAGTAGTCGTAACTATTTACTTATACATTAAAATTAACGTCTACCACGATACATTCTAGGTATACGACATAGCCAAAATCAGCCATAAATACATACATTTTTTTAAAAATACATTGACCTTTTCTCGGGTTTTCTCATGTGTCGTGGGTGCGTTTATAAACAGACCACAGTTTTTGAATCACACGAAGGATTAATCGGTTCCGGAACCGAACCCACTACACATTGCGTGCCGACCGTGCAGTCAACAGTCACATTTTAATCTAAATGACTTCTAGAATAATTTATTATGTTGATATGATACACCTACCTAATAGAAACAACTTAAACCATGAAACACATTTGCCATCGAGACTATTGTTAAAATTGAATGACTGTTTAATTTTTATTTCAATAACAATCATCCATTCATTGAAAGAAAGGTTTCATTTCATGGGAAATGTAATTATTACAAACCAGCAATTATTTATAAAATATGCTACAATATTACAATACGATAAAAATTACGCCTAATGTTCGTTTGACCATGACTTGTAACATTTACTAACGCATATTAAAATACACCATTTTGTTTTTCATGACAACAAATCTTTGAATCACACCAAAGTGTTGAGAAATGATTATAGCAGTACAAAGCACGGTATCCGAGTATCATGATAACAATGTTAGGGAATCTTTGTAAAAAGATAAAACATTATCTCCGTATAAAAGCAGTGCTTTAATTTATTTATCCGGTTTTGTTTGTTCTAAACAAATAACGTACCGGAAGGGGAAAAAACCGTTATCATAAATATACTCTATCGAAATTCTGATAAATACCGACGATAACTTAATATATGTGTTACTAAATTCGAATCGGTTGTCTGACTTGTCTGGCCTAGAAGTTTCTATTACTGCCGTGTCGGCGGTGCTATAAAGTCGTAAAGATGACTAAATAACAGCTAGCAGTTGAACATCATTTAACTATTCTTCTTAAACAGTTTCATGTTACCCTCTTTAAACAGTCGCACTGTTTTACATATTCGTTTTATGCTTTACGCAAACTAGCGGAATTCGTGAAATCTGATCGGCGAAGTCTTACTTATGATAGGCAATCTTGCATCGATAGTTCGAATCTTGTTTTATTTGCGTAGTTGAAAGGAGACGGAGCAGGCTTTGCAGCGACTCGAGATGTTAAGTTGCCTTTCATGGCAGTGAATCGTGGAGCTGCGCTGGTTACTTAACATGCAAATCGATAGTATTGACTCAAACTATTAAATTGTTCAAGTATAAAATGCAAAATGCTATAAAACGATAAGTTGTTCAGGCCACCCACACAAATATTTTACCAGTTTGGTGTAGATTCCGTCTGGACAAATTAACTAGTACTTGTTTGTTTTTTTTCCGGCGGAATTCATAAATTATATCGGAGGCGTCTTCTTAATATGGATTACTTAACCTTCTAAGCGTGACGACGTAATCTCCGAGTCTTCCTCATTCAATCTGCACCTACAATCAGGCAGTTATTGTAGCATTCTTACTTCATTACATATTACACTGACATTCATGTTTCCGTATATTGTGAATTTATGAGTACTAGATACTCACTATAATTTTATTGTCTGCGTATAAACCAAGAATCTATGTAAGTAGTAGTACGGTACGCAAGCACCTCCCTAAGTACCTAGTTACCCACTACATAATTATTTTCTCCTTGGTGTCACTGAACGTTATCTTTTTTACCAATTTGTTTCAATTTCAAAACAATAACAGGTATTAGGTAATTGTTCGTCTGAGATATTGCGTTACATAAAGGATAAACCCAATAAAACATAACGGCTACCTACTGAATTCACATTAAGGTGTATACCTACTGGTATTGCAGACATTTAATTACCTACGTAACGTCAACCTAATTACAATTAAGGTAACTATCGTGATTATAACAATGTTTAATTATTGCTCATACGATGATTAATGCAACTACCTAAGGATTACAGACGATGGTTGATTGTGTTTCGATATAATTA